CAACAGGTGTTTTGTAGGCTTAACATAGCTTTTAAAGAAATGATAAATATGGTATCACATTTGCATTGTTTTTCCAGCTAAAATGTGACCTTTGCAAACCTTTAGCCATAAACATAAACCATCTTTTATTCTATAGACAGGAAATCACTAACTGTCCAGAAAACCCATATTTTGTGAATACTTGTAGACATATTCAGTGGTGAATTTGGCCATTTTGGGGCCCGTCAGTCTTAATGACGGCTCTGATTTGTTGAGTTGCTGCAGTTTTCCTGCAACATTATGAATCAGATGGAAACACAAATGTAGCTTTTACTGAAGCACCTTCCCTGGCTTTCAAAGATAAAATATGAAAGGCAGATCCTAAAGCGATTAATACCAAATGTGCTTATTGTTCATGGGGGAGTTATCAATCAACATGCATCCCAGCCTGCTTATGACTGAATGAATGATGTCCACTGTAGGAGGAAAGGGAAGGTAAATCCCCTTTAAAGAAAAGGTAAGAATGCTTGTAGTATTTTGACAGAGAAAATAATTCATAGAACTTAATATTGTTTTAACAATAAACACTTTGCTGTAAATTATTGTGTATCAATCAAAAAGGTTTACAACTACTTACTTGTTTATTTTTCTCTTTTAATTAGCTAAATAATGAAAAAAACAGAGTTCACAATTACTGAAATAAAACAAAATAGTACAGAAGAATTTTATAAAGATTTTGCAATATTGAAAAAATATATATTTTAAGACATTTTTTTGTTGTTGTTTTGTTTTTGCAATTCTCTGAAAGAGATTTGCAAAAACTTCTAAAAAAACGTACTCTAAGGACATGGTAAGTTATCCCCTCATATCACACTAGATTTTAGCTGTTGCATCGTTGCTGACTAGCATGAGTGAATTAGGAGTGAATTTTAGAAACAGAGCAAAGGGCCTTGCAGAGAACTACAGACATTATAACTCACAACATTAACATGATGCAAGTTGATGCAGCGGCTACAGGGAATCTTAAAGAGATTTTAGACAATCAAAGCTTTGCAGGTTTTTACTGTTGTCATTTAGCCACATATCTTAAATAATACATAATAAAATTTGGTTCAACATCAGGGCTGTCAAAGCATTGACAAAGAAACTAATGTTGCATTCTCAAAAAATATGCTATGTAAAGTATGTGGTGGACCCGCATCAGGGGGAAGGAGAGGTCCTGCAGAGGGTTTCCACGGTCTTAAAGGGTCTGAGCAGGACCGTGGTCAGACCCTTTAATTCAGTGAAACAGTGGGTGTTGACTGGGAAGGGCTATTTTGAAGTGCTGCTACTGTTTATATATTTAAAGGTGTTACACTTCACAAAGTTTAAATAAAGCCAGAAATATATTTTTTTCATCCAGAAAAATCTGGATGCTCTGATCCCTCTACTAAAGTATTTTGTTAGTGACTCTGGCAAAACTTTATAAATACCTACAGTATATAAACTACAAAACTATCCGGCAAAATATTTTCCATTCCATATTCTGATGCTTTTGAACAACCTAAAAGATGCTTAGATTCAAATGGTAGCAAGAAATCCCAGACAGCCTGGTTGGCTATTGCTGGATTCCCTGTGACAGCAGTCATGTTGGTATGCGGGGATCTACAGCTCGGAAAACTAGCAGAATATGTAAAACTTAGATCATAATTCTGATGTTTGGAGGTAGACCTCGTCCTTTAAAAGCATCTAACAACATTGTTTTTCACACTCATCAGAGCTATAAAAAGACACTCTTACCATCTCATTGTACTCAAGAGACCTGCAACATGCGTCAAATGTGACTTCGCACAATTTGCTTGACGTCAATGAGTCAATAAACTGGTTTTCCTAAAGCCCCTGTCACACCTTGCCGATTTAGCCAGCGTATGCCTGACGTCTCAGAATCTCCTAAAACGCTGAACTTTATATGTATATCTTCAAGTTTGGGCGTATTCATAACGAGTCCGGAGCGAATGTCTGACGACATTCTAACTTATGCATAACGCACGGCAGCATCATGCACAACAAATGTCACAAGCCAGTGTCCTAAGGGGGCAATGCGCCCGGACGCCCCCGCCAGATTTGTTGATATGCGCTGGAGAGAAGTTCTTGATAAGTTATGCAGAAGTTATGAACAATTTACTCAGAGATTGAGGATAATATAGACGGCATGACTTATGAGTAACTTAAACGTAACATATGTCAACCATCATATAACCTGGAACTTATGGCTCGCGTATGGCATACGCTGGCATACGTCTCGACGTGCATGCTGTATGTCAGCGTGTGCCACCATGCTAGTGTGCTTCAGCGTGCTCATAACTTATACAAATCTTACCCATAACGTACCCATTATGCCAGAGTTTTTGCCAGATTTTTTGTACGTCAGGCATACACTGGTCTGAATCGTCAAGGTGAGACAGGGGCTTTAGATAGAAAACTTGACTGTATGATCTGGTTGAATTGTCTCCATAAAGTGTCTTGAGATGACATATGTTGGCGTTATTTAAATAAATTGAATTGAATTTATTTGCCCTTGAAATAAATTTTGGGTGAACATTGCGGAGCAATGTGGTTCAGCTTTGCAAATTCTCCCTGATATAAATTTTCAAGGACAACTTAATCGAATGTAAAGGATAATGTTAATAGATATGATTCCAGACAAATTGACACCACATTAGGCAGTACTTGTTCTTTAATGCACAGTATTTGGGTATTATGGCTTCATAAGTTTGGTGTGAACACATACAGTGGCAGTGTTTTACAGTAGCCAAGTGAAAGTGGAGTATTGAAGCATTGTATGAGAAAAATGTTGTCATTTGAACTCTAAAAAAGGGTCTTCCATTGGTTTCACACAGAATCAATCAATGAGGGGAACTACGAAGACGCTCCCTGTTTACCTGCTGAAAGTATAGAGATCACAGATATTGCTGTCAGTCACAAAGCTAAACTTAACTGGGAATTTTGAGGAAAATAGGTCATCACAAGCTGTACTGTTTATGTGGATGTTTGCGCCATAGAAGCTTTGACTCATGATGGTAGGGGGGTGGATAGTGTTGGAGGTGGATGGGCAGCAGAATCCACCTCAAACTGCATGCATAGAGGAACTGTGACTGAGCGAACATGTAAAGATGCGTTAAGAAAGAAAATATTATTGTACAAGACTTTGCACAACACTGCACATAAATCAGCATTTTCTTTTTTTTTCTTTTATAAAGCCTGGAGGGCTGTCAAATGTAAGTATGCAATAGATCATCCCCATAAACACCTTCTTACTCTGCATGCACTCCCAGCATGATCTATCTAATCCCAGCAATCTGGAGCAGAGTAGTGCCTAGTGAGCGGAACAGCAGCCAGTATACCAGACCTGACATATGCTGCAGGAGCCTGTGGAAATGCATGGCTTTAATCTATCTGTGCTAACTGACAAATGGACTGGGAGGACTCTGCATTGCGGTGAGACCTGTTGTTCAGCCCTCAGCATATGTCTGATAGATCAAAAGCACCGTGGAGGGAGAAAAAGAGCCAAAGATTGAGGGAAGAGTGAAAAATCTGTTGTACGAATTTATTGCTGTCATGCCGCCTGGTGTTAAGAAGAGACAGAGGCAAGAAGGGGAGGAAAAAAAAATCTGAACGGAGATCATTTATAATGTCTAATGCTTCCCTTTAAACTCGGCTGAATGTGGGCCTTGAAGAGCATGGGTCAAAACGCACACAGTCTAGTAAAGGTAATGTCAAGATGCCTGTCACTGAATCACTTCACAAAGTGAGAATTAAATCTGCACCGCTCAAATAAATGCGTCATTCTGGGAATGAAGGTATAAGCTGACAGGTTATGTCTTCTGCCTAAAGACGGGGTGTAATTGTGAAAAAGGCTTGACACGAGCACACTGTTGAACATAATGGTACAGAGGAGCAGAAGAACATGCACACACTTATCCTAACTGGGCTTGGTTTTTAATGCTGTGCCATGAACAATAACAAGCGTTCATTAAAAACATCCTCCAGAATTTTCAACACCAGTTGCTAATGTGGAGCCTTAATTTACTTTGACATAAAGAAAGCTTCAGTAGCAACATTGCTTTACTGCACCATATTGGAGTTACTGTTGTTAGCACCTTTTGAACGTTCTTAAAATATGAAAAAATAGCCGTAAGTAGCAATTAGCAATATGTTTATATATATATATATATTAGCAAACGTGAGGGAAAAAAAGATGGTAGACTTAATTAGTAAAATGGATTTAACGTCAATGCACATTCACAACAAGTGAAATAGTCTAAATTAGCAACTGGTCCAGGTATGCAGACATTTAGATTCAGTTGTTCGGGTCACAGTGCTGTTTGTACAGTAAGGAGGCCTCTAGTTTCAGAGGTAGGTCTAAAACTTCCCCTTCAGATGAAATTTATTGTTGTGGCTTTGGTTATCCAGAGCTGTCTCTGTCTGTCACAGCGCTTTTGTTTAGTAATGAGAAAGTCCTTAAAAGGGTTCCTAACTCGGTTACTGATGCCAATTACTTCACGTCCTTTGTCAATAGAGAGACCTTCCAGCAAATTCAGCTGATAAATCCTTTCTATCATCTTTTTTGAAGGATAATTTCTTTAAGAAACTTAAGTGCAGCACGAAAACTGTTTCTTCTATTAGCCACGTTTTGTGTTTTTCTCTTTTTGTTGCTTTCAAATTATTATAATGATAAGTTTGGCCAAAAACATCCAGTTTCTTTTATTCAAACAAACAAATGGACTCACTCATAGAGGACGCTTTAAAGAAGCTTGCAAATTTAATTATTTGAAATAGACTAAAAACATTTTTCATGAAATTGTCTAAAGTGTTCTTTTTTCTATAATTTACAACAACTTGTTATTTATGCCAATACAACATAGCATTTTTAGTTAATTCAAAGTAAAAAGGAAATGCCTCTGAATAGAATCATTTGGATAAAAAGGACACACAGTATTGTGCCATTATTGTGGTTTTGGACATTGGGGACCAGTGTTTGTGCTTCTTCTTAACATGGAAACCTGAGAAGAGGTCGCAGTTTTGCCTCAGAAACAGCTGTAGGACCTCTGCAACCAAATAACTTAGGAACTGTAAGCCCAAATTACATGTGTGATACATTATTTGAAACCTAACACCTTCTAGTTTCTGAATATATACATGAAAATTGAGTGAGTAGAACACAGCCCAAGCTAGGGTTGGGCGATAATTCAATAACGATATATATCGATCGATAGACGTGTGGCGCAATAG